CACTACCTGCATCCCACATCCAATGTCCTGTATCCTTGCATCCTGCATCCCACATCCAGTGTCCTGTATCCCTGCATCCCACCTCCTGCATCCCAAACCCATTCCCTGCATCCCACTTCCCGCAGCAGCATTCCCGGGTTGCTCCCAAACCCACCCAAACCCAAGGAATTTGGGATCCAACCCCAGCCATGATCCCGTTCCTGCCGTGTGAGGGGGGGGGGGTTTCCCACATCCTGTTTTTTGGGAACGGTCTCACCTCTTCTTCAAGCTTCGGGATGTGCTGGCAGAGGGTTGGAATAAATTCCATGAATTCCAGCTTTAGGGATGAGGCAGGGAAGTGCCAAAGCCTCAGTCTCAGGGCAGAGCTGAGTTTCCCCGAGGTCACAAAGGTATTTATAATATATTTATATTTCTATCTGAGGGGCAGGAAAGTGTTTGGTTTCCTTGGAAAGCAGAGAACGTGGAAAAATCAAGGATTACAAAGATCAGCTCCAGCCAAAAATTCCCGGCTCCAAACCGAGCCCGGGCCAGGATTCTCTTTTTTGGGGATTTGTTTTGCTGGGATTTTTATTAATTCCTGCTTTTTGAGTGAGCAGAATCCCAAATCCCTCCATTCCCAGCAGCCCACTGGGATTTAACAGCCCAGGAGTTGGAATTCCCATGTTATGGAGGTGTCGGGATTTGCGTGGAACAGGGCTGAGATGTCGGGATTTGGAACACGGAGCAGCAGTTTGGGAACAAACCTGGGAGTGGGATCATCCATAACTGAGGAGGAAGGAGTGAAGGACACTTTGGAGATGCTGCTTCCACCCGCTCCTCGTGGTTTTCCTCCTGTTTGCAGCGATCCAGAGAAATTCCTGCTTGGAAGTGGCACGGAGCGCCCGGCCCTGGATCACGGGGAGGGGGGGGGCTTTTCCAGGGGTTGTAACAAATCCCAAGCATCCATGTGAGCTTGGATAAAGTGTTCCAAGGCGCTGATGTGTCTGGGGGTGAGCATTTCCCAAAAATCATCCCTTTTCCCAGTGGAAAACCCACCAGTAGGGATGGTTGGAGGAATTCCAGCTGTTTCCCAGCCCGGCGGTGCCTTGGGAAGGCAAGGAAATCTTGGAATAGGGTTTAAAAAGCAATGCACGTGTGGAGGAGACCCCCAGGGATTGTCCCCACACCCCCATTCCCAAGTGCCAGGCACCCCTTGGAGCATCCCATGGGGTTGGGATGCTGTTTTCCCCCTTGGAAAAGGCTGGAATTGGGATGCAGGAGATGCCCGGGATGAGCGGAGGGGCTGCAGATCCTCACGGGAGGAGGAGTGTGGGGTCCTCCTGCGACCTGGAGCAGATCCCAAAAAAAAAGCAGCGAGGAGGCGAGAAAGGGGGCTCCACTCTTTCTCAGGGAATCAGGAAAAATGCGGGAAAAGCCTTAAAAAAAGGAGGTCGGGGTGACCCAAAAATGCCACACGTCCTCCTGCGCCACCGGAACATCCGCAGCCCTGCGGCACTGGGGACACACCAGCCCATCCCAGAACATCCCCATCCCAAAAAAACACGGCCCAGCACACATGGAATACACACACGCAGCCCTGTAAGGGTCAGCAGTCCCCAAAAAACCCTGGAATTCCAAGCAGGGATCACCCAGACACCCCCCAAAAACCCAGAGTGGGGGTGGTTTCGGAGCCCCAACACAGAGATGAGTCATAAACCAGCCAAATTTTGGGCTTAAAACACTCGGGTTTTATTATTTATTCGGCATATCCCAATTCCAGGAAGCCTGGAGGGAATCAGGGGGATGAGGGTCGCTGCACCCCAACACTGGGATGGGGCAGGAAGCTGAAATTCTACCCCCAAATCTCCCCAGAAAAGAGTCTTGGAATGGGGTCCCCCCAATGGAGGAAATAACCCTCCCCCATCCCCCCCTTCCCGTGTCCTAATCCAGCTTTTCCCCTGCTTGGGGGATTTCCAGGAGGTGCTGGAAAGTACAATAAATAAATCCAAGTGGTGCAAGGGGTTGGGAATCACATCCTTGCGTCCCTTTGGGAATGAAGGAAAAGGGTCAATTCCAGGATCACCAAAATAATCTGCTCCGGGGCGAGACCCCGGCTTGGTGCTTCCCCCAAAAATGGAATATCTAAATCAGAAAGGGGAGGGGGGGAGAAGGCATTAAGGGGGAATATTGGGAATCCTCAGCCTAAAATTGCTTCCTTTGCTCTGTCAAGGCAGCGGGAAAAGGATTCCCGGGAAGGAGGCGATGGCAGGATCCTGGGGTGAGATCCCACAGGGAGTGTTCCCCCAAAACCCCCACGGAGCCCCCCCAAAGCCAACTCTGCTTCCAGAACCGGCCCCGTTGCAGGTGGGAAAAGGGGCAGTGACCCCACAGGGAGCACGGAGCGAGATCCAGGGATGAGGAAATGGATGCGGGGATGGAAAGTCCCCGGGATGGTTTGGGAAAGGCAGCGGCCCCAAACACCTTCTTCCTCCCCAAACTCTTCTTATTTAATCGTGGGGCAGCTGGGTGGGTTTTCCCAAATCAAAAGCGTCACGAAAAAGGAATATCGGGAGGAAAAGTTAGGGAATAACCCAGCAGGAAAATGCGATTCATCCCCAAAAAATTCCAGGGGAGGAGGCGAAGTCCTGCCAGCGGCTGCAGGGGCAGCAGGATGGGTTCTATTTATTTAGAGCCAGGTCTGCAAAGCTTCCTTGGATCTCAATAAAACCAGGAAAAGGGGATGAATCCCCCCTCCCCAAGCCCCCCAGGGCTGGGCAAACAGGGGGAAGTGATCCCTCTGCTTCCCAGCTCCCATCCCAAAATCCCAGTCCGACATCGAGCCGAGCTCTGGTTGCTCCAACACCCTGAAAATAAGACACCAAACAGCCAGAAAATGAGGAAGAAAAGGAGGGGGGAGGTCTTGGGGGGGGGGGCGCAGGAAAGCCAGGATCGGGGGTTGTGGGATCACAGGCAAACCCCAGAAATCCTGGGAAAAGCCCGGGAGTTGGATGGAGGGCGGCAGGAGGAAAAGCCGCGGCCACGGAGCCGGAGCAGCTCCCGACTGAGGACCCGCCGAGGCTGAACCCGTGCGAAAACACAGGAGGAAAACCAGAGAGAGATTAAAAAATATTCACATAAAAAACGCTCCCAAAATACGCCGGACCAAGGGTCGCGTCGGAATTTTTCCCGCCGAGCCGGGGAAAAAGCCGCGAGCGGAGCGGCCGCGCTCGGGATTTGCAGGAAAAACCTCCTTTCAAACAGTCCCCCCCCCAAAAAACCCCCAAACATCCCTAAAAATACCAGCACGAAAGGTTTTCTTTAGGGGAGGCGTGCGATGGTTTGATAAGGGGTTGGTTTGTTGGGTTTTTTATCCTCCTTTGAATTAAAAACTCGAGAGGGAAAAGCCAAAAGAGGGAAGAAAAAAAAAAAAAATCATTTATTGCCGCTTCAAACCCAGCCGGCGGCTCGTCGGGACGAGTTCGGATCGCACGTTGGATCCGGCGATTTTTTCCGCAGGGATAAAGGTCTCCGGGACGTTTCAGTCGGGAAATAAACCCCAAAACCACCCTGGAAAAGACTTTTTTTTTTTTTTTAAAAAAAAAAAAAGGCAGGAAAAGCGAAAAGCCGGGAGTTCAACGGGATTTATCCCCGGGGAGGGTTCGGCATCCACACCGGGATTTAAAGGGAGGAATAAACGCCCCCTCCCTCCCAACAACCCTCCCCTCGAGATGAAGAGAAAACCCGACCCAGGCTCTAGTTGAATATAAGTTTTTTTTTTTTTTATCTTGATGCAACATCGTTAAAACCGTCACAAATCGAAACAACAGGTCGGTAAAAACGCTTCGCACGATCAGTCCCTAAAATGCACCAGGGGCTCCCCAAAAAGCTCGCCGCGTGTCCGCAGGACCCCTTTTGTTCTTCCCCCCCCTCCCCTCCCCATCCCAAAATCAAGGGTTGTTTGTTTTTTTTTTTTTAACGCGTTTTTTTTTTCCTCTCCTCTTTTGTAAAGAAGTAACTCGTTTAAAATAAAATTAAAAAAAAAAACAACCCACCCTGCTCCTCGGTCCCGCTTTCGCTCCGACGATTGCACGAATTCTTATTCCTCTTTTTCCTTTTCCACGCAACAAATAATGTGCATTTTCTTTCCGTCTTTTTTTTTTCCCCACCGAACATCGAGGTTAAAATAAGATCCCGTTTCTCCCGAGGGTTAATAAATAAATCTGGTGCATAGTGAGATAGCAGCCAACCGTTCGCAGTCCATATATTACTATATTGCCTTTCAGGTCACCCGAAAATTGTTGCCTCTCCCTTCCCTCCCCTCCCTCCCTCCCCTCCCCACTATTTTTTAAGAGCATAGATAATTTTAAATCTCTATAAAACAGTATTATTTAACCCAATCGATTCCTGTATATAGTGCATTCGGCTTCTTCCCAACATCATTAAATTAACTCGGATATTATTTGCATGCTATTACATACAAACTTTTAAGACTCGTGTAATTTTTTTTTTGTCTATTTTCTAAAGGATTTGGGGTTTTTTTTGTTCTTTTTTTTGTCTTTTTTTTTTTAATTTTTTTTTTTTTTTCGTTAATTTCTCCAGATAATATATAGGCTCAAAAAAAAAAAAAAAAAAAAAGGCAAAAAACTAACTAATATTCTACATATTTACAAGGGTGAATAAGTTAAACGTGGCTCAGTTTCGCCGGCCGGGAATTAGGGAGGGAAAGGGGGAGCGCGGAGGGGCCGGACAGGGCGCAGCGCTGCCGGGGACCCCCCCCCCCAGGCCCGATCCGTGGGGACCCCTGGAAGAATAAAAATCAAATTGAGGGTAAAACACGCAGGAAAAGGTGTGTGGGATTGGGAGGGGGGAAGAAGAAGAAGAAGGAGAATCCACCTGGAAGGCGCTGATGCTCCCGGGAAAAGGGGGGGGGGGGGGGGGGGGGGGGCGAGTTCGACTTCCCCTCCCCAAAATTTCCCGGAGGAGGGGGGACACGTCCTCATATTATTATTATTATTATTATTATCATTATCATTATTCTTAATAATAATTTTTTTTTTAAAGACAAGCGGCGGGTTTTTTTTTTTTTTTTTTGCTCTTCTCCCCGCACGAGGAACAACAGCGACGACAAACCAACAACAACAACGTAAAAAAAAAAAAAAAGGGGGGGGGAGGGGGAGCGATCCCACCCCCCCCATCCCACCAACATCCCACCGGGCTCACATGAAGAAGTCAGCGGCGGCTTTGGGGGGAGCGGCGGAGGATGGGGACGGTTCCCTCGGGAAGCCCCGGCCGGCCAACTTCTCGTATTTCTCTTTGTACAGATCCCTCTCCTTGGCCAGGCGGGTCACCTCCTGCTTGAGCTGCTCCACCTGGCTCTGCAGCTGGCATTTCTCGTTCTCCAGGATGTGCCGCTGCTGGACCCGCTTGTAGCGGCAGGACTGAGCGTAGCCGCGGTTCTTCAAGGTCCTCCTCTTCTGCTTGAGGCGGATCACCTCCTCCTTGCTGAAGCCCCGCAGCTGCCGGTTGAGCTCCCGCACCGACATACTCACCAGCTGGTCGTCGGAGAAGCGATCCTCCAGGCGGAGGTGGTGGTGGTGGTGGTGGTGGTGGCCGGGGTGGTGGTGGGCGGCCGGCGGCATCTCCTCGCCCGCGAAGGGCTGAGGCCGGAAGGGCTCGTAGCCCTGGTGGTGATGGTGGTGGTGGTGCGGGGCGCCGATCAGCGCCTCCACCGCGTCCTCCGGCGTCAGGTTGAGCGCTTCGGGGTTCAGGTGGTGCTGGTAACCCGACATCCAGTACAGCTCCTCCAGCTGCTGTTTGGAGCCCAGCGAAGCGGCGGCGGCGGCGGCCGGGGGGCCGGGGGCCGGTTGCCCGCCGGGGCTTGGGGCGCAGAAGCTGGGCGAGGAAGGCACGGAGGAGCAGGGCGTGCTGAGCGGGGTGGACGACAGGGAGCCGGCGGGCAGGCGGTGGCACAGCCGCTCCGCCTCCGCCGGCTCCTTCTTCACCTCGAACTTCATCAGGTCGAAGTCGTTCACGTACTCGATGGCCAGGGGGCTCGTGGGCAGCTCCGCGCTCATGGCCAGCTCCGAGGCCATCTCAGTCCATGGAGGGCGCCGGGGCGGGAAGCCCCCGGGCACCGCCGCTCGCTGACGGGGCTCCGGGAGCCTCCTCCGAGGGCGCTCCGGGGCTGCCCCGCTCCCGGGGGGCTGCGGGACTTTCCGCCGGGGCTTTGCTGCGGGTTCAGCGGGGTTGCGGGACCCTCCGCTGGAGCTTTGCTGCGGGTTCAGCGGGGTTGCGGGACCCTCCGCTGGAGCTTTGCTGCGGGTTCAGCGGGGCTGCGGGACCCTCCGCTGGGGCTTTGCTGCGCGGTTTACCGGGGCTCCGGGATGCTCGGACGCGGATCTGCTGCCAGGCTCCGGGACCCTCCGCCGCGGCTCCGCTTGAAGGCTCAGCCGGGCTCCGGGACCTTCTGACGGCGCTTCCTAGTGGGGCTCAGCGGGATTCGGGACCTTCCGCCGGGGCTTTACGGTGGGATTCAGCCGCGATCCGCGACCCTGCGACGGGGCTCCGCTGCCGCGCTCCGGGACCCTCCGACAGGGCTGTGCCGCTGGACCTTCTGACAGGGCTGTCTGCGGGTTCAGCCGGGCTCGGGGACCTTCCGACCTGCGCCGCGGGTTCAGCCGAGCTTAGGGACCTTCTACCGGGCTCAGCCGGGCTCCGGTGCTCGCCTCCGACGGGATTTCGCGCTGAGCTTCAGCGGGGCTAAGCCCGGCTCTGGGACCCTCCGCTGGGGCTCCCGGGCAGCCCCCCCCGTCCCTCGGGGCTCTGCGCCGGACTCCGGGAGCCTCCTCCGGCCGCCGCTCGGCGCTCGGGGCCGGGCGGGCTCCGGCGCTGCCTGGGGCCGCTTCCCAATGACGAGGAGCGGGCAGCGCCCTGCCCGCCCCTTCCTGCCTCCCCCTGGCACCTGCCCCGGCCCCACCTCCCCGGGCTGCGAGCCTGAGCCTTCTCCTCCTCCTCCTCGTCCCGCCGGGACCCGGGCGCGCTGCGGGGCGGGGGCCGCTCCCTGCCCGCCCCTGCCCGCGACCGGCGCCGCCGCCGCCGCCGGGCGCTCAATGGAACCCGCCGCCTTTTATATGGGAAAAGGAGGAGGCGCGGACACTCCTACAGGGGAGGGGATAATCCATCCCGCCTTATCAGCACGCCGGGATTTGCATATCCCCATGGCAACGCCCCCGGGGCAGCTGTCAGTCCAAGGGGGTTTTTGGGGGGCGCATCCCCTGGACCCCCCCAGGGCACCCCCCGTGCGCTGTCACCTCCCAGCGACAGCCCGGAGAGGGGAAAAAGAGCAAAGAAATCGTGTTTTTCTCCCCTCCCCGAAAATAGGAAAGACCCAGAAAGGCGGGTTATGGAGCCCGAATTGGGTTTGATTCCACCCCGCTGGACGCGGCCCCTTCCCCACCTCGGGAGCGGCGCAACGTCCTTCCCCTACACCGAATATAGGTATTTCTGGGATTTTTAGGGATGTTCCCAGAAGGTGGTGGTGGGCAGGGAGCGGCCACGAGCACCAGAACCGGCTCCCCGCGCTCCGCTCCGGCTTTGTGTCACCGCAGGTGACACCCGCACGTGGCGCGTGGCCGGGAGTGTCACCAGCTCAAGGAGCGGGATCACCATCCCAGCACCTGGAAAAGGTGTCCCCGGCGCCGAGGGGAAGCTGGTCGGGAGGTTTTGGGGGGTCTGGATGAGTCCCTGGAGGGGCTGTGGCCTCGCTGTTCCTCCTGTCGCCACGTGGCCGCCGCAGGACGGGAGGGATTTGCAGGGAAACTGAGGCACGGGAGTTGTCCCACCCGATCCCAAGGGATGAGCGGCTTCATCCCACAGAGGCATCGACACCCACCCGCTCACCCCCCTCGGGGCCCAGGATTGAATCCCGGATCCCAGGATCACTATATTCCAGCCCAGCTGCATCCCACCCCGCTGCATTCCCCAGGCAGTCCCTTGGGATGGGAAAGGTGAAGGTCCCTGGCCAGCCCTGCTTGGGGACTCCGGGACAAGGGACACTGCCCTCCACTGACCCTTCAAAAGGAGGGATTATTTGGGCCAAATTAATGCAAAAAGGAGGTTTTTTTTTTTTTATGAAACCCCTTATCCCCCTGCATCCCAGCAATTAAAATCCCACGTCATTCTGGGCCCTGGAGGGTCCATCTTTCTCCTCCTAATTTTGTTGGGGCAGGTGGAGGGGATTTGTCCCCCCTGGGAAGGGTCACAGTCCCAGGCAAAGCCCCAGCCAAGATCCTGGTGGTGCTGGATGTTATCCCATATTGGATAACCAGGGACACAGCTATCCCACATTGGAAACCCCAAACGTGGGCATGGGATAATGCCCCTCCCCCCTTCTACTCGAGAGAGGGGACAAAATAAGGGACAAAAAGGGCATCTTGATGATTTTGCAACAAAAAACCCCTTTTCACTCAGTGATTTTAACCCTTTTTGCTTCATCGTGCCTCCCTAAATCCATCCTCACTCACGTCCTCAGTCAGGATTTCGGGATCCTGCCCTGGGAAAAGACAGGGTGCCACCTCCCTACCCCTGGCACCACGTTCCTGCCCGGAGCTACTCCCATCTTGGTCCCCCCCAGCAGCTGCCACCCGCCTCGGGCCGGGAGCCACGGAGGGATTAGGAACGGGACGGGATCCAACGGGGCCGTCGCTGCTCCGTGGATATTTTTAGGAAGTGCCCGTGGCATGTCCCCAACCCTCCTGGACACGGCCAGAGCCGTCAGCTAAGTTTACTCACAGGGGGTCAAGTGACATAACCAGGTTGGTGGCCTCGGGAATGGCCTTGGGATCACGTCACCCTCCGCTTATGGAGCTCGTGCGCCCCGTTAACCCTTCCAGCGGGGCCTGCCTCGGCTTCCCGGGATATTCCAACAGTATCCTGACTGGGGGGCTGGTGGCTTGGGGACCCCTCACTGGGATATCATCCCATGGAGAGGGCGGTGTCCCATCAGGATGAACCCCATGAACCGGTGGGATCGTCTTGATGCTCCACCAGCATCTGCGACTGGATGTGGAGAAGGGTCAGGAATTTTGGGAAAGGAGGGAATCACACAGTGAGGATGGGAAGCGGAGGAGGGCAGGGAACCCCTGACCCCATGGAGAGAGTGTTGTCCATCAGGAGGAACCCCATGAGCTGGTGGGATCGTCTTGATGCTCCACCAGCATCCGCAGCTCGACATGGAGAAGGGTCAGGAATTTTGGGAAGGGGGGAAATCACACAGTGAGGGTGGGAGAAGGAGGAAGCGGAGGAGGAGGAGGAGGAGGAAGAGGAGGAGGAGGAGGAGAAAGAAGGTAGGGAACCCCTCACCCCGTGGAGAGAGTGTTGTCCATCAGGAGGAACCCCATGAGCTGGTGGGATCATCTTGATGCTCCACCAGCATCTGCGGCTGGACACGGAAAAGGGTCAGGAATTTTGGGAAAGGAGGGAATCACACAGTGAGGGTTGGGAGGAGGAGGAAGAAGATAAGGAGGAGGAGGAGGACAGCGAACCCCTGACCCCATGGAGAGGGCGGTGTCCATGAGGATGAACCCCATGAGCTGGTGGAATCGTCTTGATGCTCCACCAGCATCCGCAGCTCGACATGGAGAAGAGTCAGGAATTTTGGGAAGGGGGGAAATCACACAGTGAGGGTGGGAGAAGGAGGAAGCGGAGGAGGAGGAGGAGAAGGAAGAGGAGGAGGAGGAGGAGAAAGAAGGCAGGGAACCCCTCACCCCATGGAGAGGGTGGTGTCCATCAGGATGAACCCCATGAGCTGGTGGGATCATCTTGATGCTCCACCAGCATCTGCGGCTGGACACGGAGAAGGGTCAGGAATTTTGGGAAAGGAGGGAATCACACAGTGAGGGTGAGAGGAGGAGGAGGAAGAGGACAAGGAGAAGAAGGAGGAGGGCAGGGAACAGCCCCCCTCATGCCAGGCAGGAACCCGATCCAGCGGGTGCCCACCCGGCACCTGCTTCCCCGGCAGGGGCCCAAGAGTGGTGCCAGCAGCGCCTGCCGCAGGAGCGTTTTCCAGGAAATGTTTATGGACCCTTCTAGAAACTCCCATCTGCGGCACCCCCAGGGTCCCTGCCAGGTACCCACCGTTCCCATCTTTCCAAGGAAGGATGGATAAACCCCCTGGGAGCTCGTGCCAGAGGCGTCGCAGCCGTCGGAGACTCGGGAGAAGCCACTGGGGCTCGGAGACTCCTCTCCGGGGGCCGAGCTGATCCCGAGCCTGGGAATTAATCAACCCCCAAGTGGAGCCTTAACGACAGCCAGCAGCAAATTCCAAGCCTTCCCGGGATGGGAGCGGCGGCTCCGAGGGGAGAAGCCACTCGTTGCCTCATTTAATTAGCACGGCATGAGGCTTAATCCTCGTTAGGGAATCCATGGATATGGGAAACCCCCAAGCTCCACACTGGGCCATCCCGAAGGATTCCCAGCTCCTTCTCCCCAGGGGGTGGTTTTTAGGGAATTTAGCCAAGTTTTTCTTTTTTAGGTGAAGAAATGTGGAAAAGTCGGAATAATAATAATAAAAAATAAAAAATAAAATAAATATTTAATAATAAAATAAATAATAAAAACAATTAAATTATAAATAATAAATAATAAAATATATAATAAAATAAATAATAAAAGTGATAATAAAAATAATAATAAAGTAAATATATAATAATAAAATAAATAATAAAAGTAATAAAAGATAAATAATAATTTAAGAAAATTGAAGATTTAAGGGTTGGAGCGGCTCCTCCCTTGGATCCAACTGGATTTTTGATGGGATGTTCCCGCTGGAAAGAGAGAGGAAAGCCACACTCCTGTCCCCAGGGGGAGGAAAGTCTTTTATTTACAAACCAAACCACAGGAATTAAAATAAAAGACATTTCACGGCGACGGAGACGACGGAGCTTTTGTTACAAAACAGCTCTTGGGATACAAGGGACATCCCAGGGTGGGATCCATCCATCCCTGGGGGGAAACACTCTGGATTTGGGATGGTGACAACCCCCCTTCCCACCATGGGGGTCTCTCTGGGAATAGAAACTCCCCGGGGGGGGGGGGTGTTTGGATGCCGTTGGCATCTTCCCGGAGCCACGGAGCACCTGAGCCCATCCCATTCCCGGGAAACATCCTCAGGGAGCCCCAGCGCTCCCCACATCCCTGCTGAGCCTTTTTTTTCCACAGGATTTCACCTGAGGGGCGTTTGGATGGGCAAATCCTGCCATCCCCCCCTGTGGCTTGGAGGTGGCCCCCAAATCCCATCGGCGGGGGGTTCCCCAAAAAATCCCTGGGAAGTGGTGCCTATGGATGCAAAACCCTCGTGGTGCTGGTGACATAACGCCCTCTCCGTGCTTTGCTCCGGCAAAAAAAAACAAACCTCTGGAAGATTCGGTTTGGGTGTCCCACTGGGATGAGGAAAGGTGGGAATTAGGAGCAACCAGATCCCAAAACGCTGCGGGATGAGAGCTCGGCACCGCTCCCAACACACATTCTCATTAGGAATGCTCTCAACACACGGCTCTACTCCAAGAAATCCCCTCCCAAAAGCAAGGGAATGGAGCAGGATGGAGGGATCAGGGCTGTGGGCCTTTACATCCCGTTACATCCCGGCCCGTGGCTGCCCTGGATTTGGGAATGTCACCTCAGGTCCCCGGATCACCTCATGTCTGGGACAGCACCCACAGCAATGGGAAGCTCTTCTCAACCCCACAAACATCCAAGGAGCTTCACTTGGGGGCAGGACTTGCCTCCAACAAACCAACGGAGAAAGGTTGTTTATTGGTCAACTCAAAGATTCCAAATGAAGCCGCTTCCTGTGGGAATTCTCAGCAGGAATGAGAGGCGTATTCCCACGCTGCTCCTTGTCTGAATGGTGTCCCCAAAAAGCGAGAGAAGGGGGTGGTGCCATGTCTGGACACGGCGTCCTGAGGTAGGTGCCAGGTTGTGCCCGGCTCTCCAGTTCCTGAGCGGGTCGGCTGATCCCGGGATCGGGAAATCAGGAATTCCTCACAGCCGGGGCTTGATCTGCAGCTGTTTGCCTGGAAGGAGAGCAGGGAAAGGGGATGGTGGGAGGAAGGGACACACCTGGACACTCCCAGGCTTCTCCTTGCCCGGTCATGAGGGGTTAAAGCACCGGAAAAACTGGGAATGTGGGTGGTTTTCCGCCCCGGTAGCGCCCGCCGGCCTCACCTCTGGCACCTTCCACACGGGTGTCCTCCGAGTCCTCTGAAGATTCCCGTGGCAAAATCCTCTTCCTTTTGGTGGTGCCTGGGAGGGGAAAGGGAAAAAAGAGGAGAAAGTCCTGGAGGTTGGCTCAGGTCAACTTGGAAATCCCTTGGAATGAAGCAGTGGGAGTGTCCTGAGCTCCTCTTCTGCTCCACATCCCCCTTGGCCACATCCAGGATGGCTCATTCCCCAAATCCCTGAGCATCCTCAGGGCACTTGGAGGTCCCTTCCCATCAGTCTGCTGCAAAAATTCCCAAGTTATGGGTGAAAAAGAGAATTAAAAAGAATCCAAACCTTCCCACTGGAGCACAATATGAACACCAGGATCTGCTTTGGGGCTGAGACAGAGCCAGAAGGAGCAGAGCACTGGGAAGCTCCATTCCCCAGGAATTCCCAGCACCCTCCCTGGGATGCTCTAGGTGATGGCTTCTGCTTCCTCCAAAGAGGGGCCTGGATGCTCATGGAAAACCTCTGGGAGATGACCTCCTTGGAGAGGACAAGCCCAGGAACATCCCATGGATCGAGGTGGGAAGTCCTTCCCCCGTTTCAACCCAACCTTTGTGCAGGTTCTCCCGTTTTCCCTTCTCCAAAGGATTTGGAAAGGTGGTTCTGTGGGGGAAGTGAAGGGTGGGAAGGAGAGCAGTGGCCCCCCGGGATGGATGGAAAGATTGGAAAAACAGGAGGTTTCCCAGAAAAAAAACGGGCCTGCAGCTTGTTGGAGGTTTAGTGGGAAAATTCCCCCCCCACACCTGGGATTAGAGGAGGGGGGAAAGTCATGGAGAAGACGGAGGGAATCCAGCCCAAACCCCCTCCAGGTGTTCTGGGGGAGCAGCACACAGCTTGGGAGCATTCCCACAAAATTCCACAGCCCGATTCCCAATGTTGAAGGTGAGACCATGGGGACCTTGGGGAAGCCCAGAACGGAAGGATTTGGGGGGGCAGGGGAGGCAGGAGCGGGGAGAGGACCCCAAGCAACACTCAACAACAGGGAATCTCCGAGAGTTTTCCTTGAATTTTCAACTCGGATGAACAAACTGGCTCCGAGCGGGAGCGGCGCCGGCAGTGACACATCGCTCCGGAGCTAATTTATGGAAAACAAGGAGGGCTCATTGAGCGCCTTCCCACCCTTCACACAACATCCATACATCAGGGGCAGCCATGGGATTAGTCACCGGCGACGGATCTCGGGGATGGCGACACCCTCCTCCTTTTTCAGCTGATCCCAAGCAGGTGGGTTTTTCCCGACTGGAATTTCCAAATCCCACCCTGGTCACTGGAATTAAGGTCTAGCAGAGCTGCTAGTTGTCACCCCGAGGGGTCAAAATCAGGGTGTCCTTGTTCCTGCTCCACCGGCAACCTGGTTCAGTGGGAATGGCGGGAAGGGCTCGATTCCCTTTGGATGAGCCGGAAAAGCTTCAGTGATGAATTGTGTCCCATCCTGGTTGCTGGAATTAAGGTCCAGAGCTGCTGGTTGTCACCCTGAGGGGTCACAATCAGAATCTCCATATTCCTGCAGTGTCAGTTCAATGGGAATGGTGGGAAGGGCTCAGTTCCCTTTGGATTAACTGGAAAAAACTTCATTGATTAATATTTCCCATCCTGGTTTCTGAAATTAAAGTCCAGAGCTGCTGGACCTCAAGGGGTCAAAACCAGCATCTCCATGTCGTCCCACCAGTAACCACAACATCAGTTCAACGGGAATGTTGGGAAAGGCTCAATTCCCTTTGGATGAGCCGGAAAAAACTTCCTTAGTGAAGATCTTCATTAATTAACAACTTCATTAACTAATATCTCCCACCCTGATTGCTGGAATTAAAGTCCAGAGCTGCTGGACCTCAAGGGGTCAAAACCAGCATCTCCATGTTGTCCCACCAGTAACTGCAACATCAATTCAGTGGGAATGGTGGGAATGGCTCAATTCCCTTTGGATGAGCCTGAGAAAACTTCATTAATTAATATCTCCCATCCTGGTTGCTGGAATTAGGGTCCAGAGTTGCTGGTGGTCATCCCAAGGGGCCAAAATCAGGATGTCCATGTTCCTGCCCCACCAGCAACCGTGGTCCTGGTTCAGCGGGAATGGTGGGAAGGGCTCAATTTCCTTTGGATGAGCCGGAGAAACTTCCTTATCTGATCTCCACAAGGCCCCTCAAATCAAACATGATTAGAGAAGTAGAAATATGGATTCCTGGGGGGTTTTGGGGGGATTTTTAAATTGACCATAATTAACTTTGCAACTCCGGCACGAAGCCCGGACGCTGTCAGAGCATCCACGCTCCATCCCAAACACATCCCTCAAAACACCGAGGCAGGAATAAGGGAACAAACCCAAACCAGGTCATGTGAAAGGACTAAAGTGGTTGTGGGATGGAGGGAGATGCAGCTCCTGGAAAAACCAGAGAGCGACGGGATGGGCGAAAACCACCTCCAAGGGGCGGGAAACCCGGAGTAAACGGTGAGTGAGGGGGAGTCGCTTTTCCAACTCCGGCGAAGGAAAAGACATTTTCCGCTTTTGTGCTTGGGAGATCCTGCAAATGGTGTGATCAATCTTGGGCCTCTCTCCCCCCCCTTCTCCCGCTTTTCCCTGCCTTTGGGAAGAGGCTCCATCCATCTCCTGGGAACCAGGTATATCATTTATACCAAGTAGCAAAAGAGAAACCCCCCTTTTTATTATTTTTTTTTGTTATCCCATTACCACGATTGAACCGCTTCCGAAGGAAGAGGAACCGTGGCCGGAGCACGAGTTTTCCGTTGGAAACCGGGAGGTTTTTTGGCCGGAGAATTTAGGACTTCCAGTGCTTTTTTTTCCACTCCTCCTCCCCTTTTCCCTGATGGAAATCAACATTTATTTTGCCTGAGCTTAAGGAGGTGTCAAGCAGACGGAGGGGACTTGCCACTCTTCTCCGGGAGAAAGGAGGGAAAAGGAAGGAAATCTAATCGGAATGTATTATCCAGTCTGAGGGGCGGACGGGGCAGTAAATCACACTTCAGGTGGCCCCATTAGATTTTTCAATCAAAACCTGGTTTTCGGAGCTGAGAGGCTCCAGCTGCATCCCACAGGGAAGGGAAAACCCAATTTGTTTCCTCCAGCTGCCGTACAAGAGGGATTTAAAGGGATCTCAAGGCAGGGAAGCTCCTTCAGGTGAAGGGGAAAAGGAGGTGTGCCCGTGCCAGGCCCCAAATCCTCTCCCTGCTCAACTCCTGTGGATTTCTCCAAGGAGTGGGAAAGTGGGAAGCAGCTGGAGATGCCCCAAAGCAACGAGATGTGACTTTTCCAAGCTCCACCATCCTGTTATAAAAAGCTTTGGAATTTTTGTGGGTTTCCCTTCCCGATGGGATGTTCGGTCTCTGTCGCTCTCTCGATGCCACCAAGGGGTTTCATCCCCTCTCCTGCACCTTCCTCCAGGAATGTATCCTTCACCTTCCCCAGGAATGCATCCCAGGTTTCCCTGCTGGATGCTCCAGGTTTAACGCCATGAGGGGAAATTCCCCCAAAACACTTTTTCTCCCCTTATTCCCAAAGGAAAAATATCCCTTAACCTGATTCGAGGAGCTGGGAATGGTCGGATCATGACCCACCACCACTGCGTTTCCCCGTTGGGATCGGGGCAAAAGGAGGAGAAAACCCCCACTTCCAAAGTGATTCTTCCAGAAGCCAAACCCATGAGAAGTTTGACTTGGATGAACTTTGTGTGTCCCTAACTCAGGATGCTCCTGATTCCAGGAGCTGGGGATGGTCGGACCAAGACCCACCACAAAGCAGAGGGGTCAGGAGAAAGGAGGAGCAAATCTGCATTTCCAAAGTGATTCCTCCAGAAACCGAAGTCATAAGGAGTTGGACTTGGATGAACGTTGTGCATCCCTAACTGAGGCTATTCCTGACTCCAGGAGCTGCGGATGGCCAGACCATGACCCACTACCAATGAGTTGCCCCCACTGGGGTTGGAAAAAAGGAGGAGCAAACCCACATTTCCAAAGTGATTCCTCCAGAAGCCAAACCCATAAGGAGTTGGACTTGGATGAACCTTGTGTGCCTCTAACTCAGGAAGCTCCTGATTCCAGGAGCTGGGAATGGTCGGATCATGACCCACCACCACTGTGTTCCCCCCATTGGGGTTGGGGCGAAAGAAGAAGATAACCCCCACTTCCAAAGTGATTCCTCCAGAAGCCAAAGCCATAAGGAGTTGGACTTGGATGATCCTTGTGTGTCCCAAACTCAGGCTATTCCTGACTCCAGGAGCTGGGAATGGTTGGACCAAGATCCACCACAAATGGGGGGGGGTTAGGAGAAAGGAGGAGCAAATCCTCATTTCCAAAGTGATTCCTCCAGAAGCCAAAACCATAAGAAGCTGGACTTGGATGAACCTTGTGCATCCCTAACTCAGGCTATTCCTGACTCCAGGAGCTGAGGATGGTCGGATCATGACCCACCACAAATGGGGGGGGGCGTCCAGGCCAAAGGAGGAGCAAATCCACAATTCCAACCCCCTGACTTCCAAAGCGATTCCCCCGGAAGCCGAAGCCGTAAACAAACCCGGGAGTGGCCTCCTCACCTCCCCTGAATTCCCGGGAAGCCGGAGCTCGGCGGGGCCGTTAAAAAAAGACTTGGAGCAGCATCTTCCATTAATGTTACGACCGTGAAATACGACAATCAAACGGCGGCCGTCTGGCGGCAAATTTGCCCCCGCCCGAGCTGCTCGGGGTTTTATCGCCGCTCCGACGCGCGGAGAAGCTGTAAAATGTTTACAGAAAGGGTCGTTTGAAGCCATAAAATCCTCTTTTCTCTCCTAAACAAGGCTGAGCGGAGCCATTTACGCGGCCCGGAATGTTCGTCGGGGGAGAGGCGGAACATCTGTTCTCGCCGGGAGTTTCGCGGCGATCTCTTCTCGAACAAATTAACTAAAATGGGGGCTTCCTAATTAAATTAGAGCTCGGGTTCGGAATGGGTTGAGTCGGGATGAGGGGGCCGGCGAGGCTCCAGCATGGGGGATTTAACTGAGAGGTGAAATATGGAAAAGGCCGTTACCTGGGAATGGCTGTGGGAGGGGAAGGGGAGACGGTTTTCCCGCCCGTTATCCTGGCTGGATGGCACGAGCTTGTTCCCGGCCTGGAAGGGGTTCGTCCTCCCCATTCCACAGGGGGTGCTTGGAAAGCCCCAGAACTCTCAAATTCCAGAATCATTTCGGCTGGAAAAGACCCCCAAGATCGTCGAGTTCAAGCTTTGCGTTTTGGGAGGTGCTTGGAAAGCCCCAGCGCCCTCAAATCCCAGAATCATTTTGGCTGGAGAAGACCACCCAAGACCATCAAGTCCAACCTTTGCCCAGTCACCTCGTCCACAAATTACTCTTCCAACCCCAAATTCTCAGGTTCCTCTTGCAGGGCGGGAGGACGACAGTAGGTTTCACTCCATGCATTCCCATCTGTCTTTTCCATCCCCTTTCCTTGTATCCCAAGCCCAGACCCCCACTGAGACCCCCCCCAAGCTGATGCTGTTGCCCACGCTGGTCCTTAAAGGTCACTTCCAAGCCCCCTCCCTGTTCCTGCCATGCACGAAGCTGGTGTTTTATCCTGTTCCAGGATTAAAAGGGCACTTTCCTCGAACTCTGAAGGTTTAACCGAGCAATTCAGCTCATTCCATAATAACAACCTGTCTCTCTCCTTATTTATGATCCCAACAACTTGGGTGTCGACTCCAGGCTCCACAAGCACAAACCCACCATTATCACCCCCAAAATCCCGATCCAGTTACACGAGGGCTCATCCTGACCATTGACACAGCTCCAAATCCCGGAATCCCAGGATATTCTGCACTGGGAGGGATGCACCAGGATCAGGGAGCCCAGGTGAAGTGACCACCACGGAGCGTTCAGTCCTTCAGCAGCACCAGCGGCCTCATCCCGCCTCCGTTTGGGATTCCTCTTCTCCCATCGGGTTTTGGGAGTCCCTGGATTCTCCCATGCCCCCAAACCCCTTGGATGAGGGTTAGGATGAGACCCAAGTATTGGCAAGCCCACAGGACAACATTCCCGTGTCCAGACTCGCCGCATTCCTTTGGAGGGGAAGTTGCTTCCTCGTCGGATGATTTTACAGCCATCCGTGATTCCTGCCCGGTTTTCCTTCCCTATGGATCCTCCAGCATCTGTTTTCCCGATGCCACGTGATCCCCCTGGCAAAGGAGCGTGGAGGGAATGCGTGCCCTGACCTCACCTCCACGGAGTTCCTCCCAACATTCCCAAATGAACCGTCTCCTCCTTCTCACACCCAAAAAGCCTGGAAATCATCCTTCCCTGCACGGACACGCTGGATAAAGAGGAAAAGGCCACCCTTGCTGCCAAGTTCTTCCAGGCTGCCAAGTGTAATCCAGGGCCTTCCCCGGCCAATCCAACTTTCAACAGCCTTCTTATCCATGGATTAATTGCTCCGACTTCATCCTGGAGAGAAAAACCCCGCTCTGGGAACAATTCCCTGGCCCCGCCGCCGGGATCAAAAGGGAGTTGAACCAGGGCCAAGGAGAGGGAAGGAGCGGGGGAGAAATCCCTGGAAAGGGAAGCCGAGAGGAACTTTCCCAGCTGGAATTATCCCTCGCTGTTCCCACCACACTGCAGTCCGAAGTGCACTCCTGTGACTTCAGGAATATGTTGTTAATCCCGGGAATTCTCTTTCCGACAGCATTCAGGCATCTCAACCCTCCCTGGCTCGAAGTGATTGAAGATTCTTGGTGCCTGCTCCAGCCTGGATTTGGTGCTGGATTCATCCCTTCTCCCAATGGGATCTCGCTCCAGCTACACGGGAAGCAGGGATTGAGGATGGGAAGGGCTCCTACTGAGCCACATCCTGTGCCAGCCGAGCTGGGGGCGGGAATTCCATCATTCCTGCCACAAAATCCTGTGATTTGCGAGCCTGTTATGAGATCCAGAGGCTGCACATCCCTCTGGAGAAGGATGGAAGAGGAAAAGGGAAATGAGGAGCAACATCCCACTAAAAACCTCCCGGTCAGCGCTGGGAAGGAGCAGGCACATTCCCTGCCTTGCCATCTCCATCACCTCTGCTACTGGAGAAACAGTCCTGGAGCAGCCCAAAGTCCCATTCCCTACTGGATTTTCCAGAATTAGGAACCAAGGAAAACGTTGGAGAAGCAGAAATGCAGCAAAACTCCGCCGGGAGCCTCTTTGGAAAGAAACAAAGATGTTTTTCCTCACGGTTCCAACAGTTTTCCCACTTTTTTCCCCCCTCAGTTTCAAACTGAAATGTTTCCCTGAACTTTTCCCGAGATAAAAAGGCACGTGTCAGAATTCCCAAGGAGTTCTGCTCATCCTAAAACCGCATTTTCCCAAAATTTCTACCCATTTCCGAAGCGGATCATCCCAGATTAAAGTAGCTCTTTCCTCCAACTTGCAGCCTGCCAACACTCCATCCCATTTCCCACTGGGATGTTTGGATTTCCAAACTTCCAAGCTATTTCCTGCCGGGAAACACGTGGGATGGACGGTCCAAAGGTCCTTCTGTTGGTCCAGTGGTGCATCCCATTGGAACACCCTCCTGCCAGGCACTGCTGTGCTTCCATCATGGGAATGAGGTTGGATTCATGTTTGGGGAATTTATGGGAAAAGGAAGGAGCCGATGATAAAACATGGGATAAAATCCTCCCACGTGGTTTTGGAAGCAAACACAAGGATTTATGCCCAGATGAGAGACCCAGTTTGGGCTCCCAGTGTGAACTGGGATTTTGGAGACTCCCAAGGAACATCAATCCCAACAAAACTCATGGAGAGCAACAGGGAATAACCCTCCTGCTCGGAAAAAGGGAGCAGCTCGGAGCACACGGGAGGAAAAGCAGAGGATGTGATTCCTACCTGGCTTCTCCTCTGGCTCATCCTCATCTTTCTCCACTTTGCAGCCCTGGAATCCGGGATATTCTGGGGATCGGAGGGAGATGAAGGATGGAAGCTTCTGCAGGCAGCTCGTTGGCTTGGCATCCTCCTCTTTCCCAAACTTCCCCTCCTGCTCCACACTGGAAGGTCCGGGAATTTCCCCATCGTCGTGGAGCTGAGCTGGATCATTCCTGCAGGAAGCATATGTGCCAAATATTAAGGAAAAATGAAACAATCCCACTTGGCAATGTTGGGAATGGCACCATGTGGCCCAGGGCTCCTGGGGCTCCATCCCAGGCCGCTCCGTATCCCTGGAGCCAACAGGGATTCAGCCACAGCTCCTCCCTCCCCAGCTGGATTCCCTGCCCTGTGCTTCCCTGCCAGTTTTCCAGCTCCTCAGATTCTCATGGAGGCTCCTGTTTGGGAGTGAGCAGAGGGAAGGGGAGCAGGGATGGCTCAGAGATGTCCCGCTGGGCTTGGCTCATTCCCAACCCCACCTCTCTCTTCCAGGTAAACCCGACACTCCGGCTTCTTTCCCATCTCCCACCACGATGCCAATAAAGGGAAAAAAAAAACCCCTCTGGAGCAGCTTCCAAGCCAGGGTGTGCTCCCATCCCCGCAGGAGGATGCCAGGAGCCTCCCAGCCACCCAGCCCTGCACTCATCCCTCCTTCCCTAAAAAGAGCAGGGAGCTATTTTACACCTCGTTCACACCGGGAACGTGAGCTGGGTGTCATTCCAAGACTCTTCTGTCACCCGGGATAAGTTGGGAGGACCTGCTGAGCGCTCGTCCCCCCTCTGCTACCTTACAAGGCAGGGCCAGGACGAGGCCCAGACCCGGGAAGGAGCCTGGACCAGGCTGGCACAGCTCCCAGATCCCTGTGTTTCCATCCCACCTTTGCTCCCACCTCCCGCTGGGAAGAGCCGCGGAGAAGCCGAGCGCCCGACTCCGCGTTTTCTCCTCCTACTCGGAGCAGGACTTTGAGACTTCGGCTTTTAAAGCCAAATCCCCTCTTTGGCTTTAAACTGAATTCCATTGGGATGCAGGAACTGCTTGAATTCCATTGGGAATGTCCTGCAGGAAGGGCTGGGGGTCAGGGAAAGGAAGGGGCCAAGGAAATCCGTCTCCTTGTGAGGATGAGGATCAACGTGTCCACCATCTGCCTGGAGGTCCATCCCAGCACCCAAAACCACCAGGAAGAGCTCACAGAGCTTCCAAGGACCCAACCCAGCATCCAACTGTTTTCCAAAGCCTCTGGTACCTCCGTGTCCACCCAGCAGTGAATCCAACCCCTCCATGCCAAGCCAAGGGCTCAGCTCTGCTCTCCACATGGATTTAAGGAAGAGGGATGGTGGTTTCCAGCTTTCCCCCAGAGCTATGGATAAGCTGGACCCACTTCCAGCAGCGGAGAATCCCCATCAGGGCTCCTCCATCTCCCAGGTCCACAAAAGCCTCGGAGACACCTGGAGCTGCCGGAGCCCTGGATGGCACATTCCCAAGGGCAAATCCTCTCTTCCCTCTCCATCAGCTCCCTCCAACACGGACACTGCCCAACCCTCCCTCCATCAGGAGGATAAATAAAATAAAAACCTTAAAATAAACCAGGACACAAGACCTGGAAGAAGAAAGATCCGGAGCGGGTCGGGAAGGAAACCGTTTAATCCAGCAAAAACGAGTTCATCCCATTTTTTCCTACCTGTCCTCCTTGATCCATCTCCACTTGGAAGGGGGGTCGGCGTGGTCTCCCTCTCCTCCTGCCTCCTTGGGGTGCCGCCTCTTCTGGGGGTGCAGGAGTTTGCAGTGGACACCCTTGGGACAGACGCCCTTCCGGGCAAAGTCGGGACACACCAGCGTGTGCTTCTTCTTGCACTGCCGGGGAAGGAGAGAGAGGCATTGGAAAAAGCGGGAAAACCCCCCCGGGAACACGGGAAGGGCTCCCGTGGGTGCCACCGACACCTGGCTAAAGGGAGGGGAGGATGTGTTGGTGTTCCCTTCTCCGGATCCAAATCCTACTCCACGACAAAACACTCTTACAAATAACGTTCTCCTCCGGGATGTTCCACACCCACCCACGGTTTTCCGTGGTTTTTTATGGATCCAAACCACCAAAGCCTTGATGGCAATGATTTATCCCCAAGGTGGCCATGCTGGGAGGTCCCCAAAGAGGTTAACTGGGCTGGAGAAGCTGGTTTTGGAGAGGACACGGTTGTCCCAGACATTCTCGGGGCTTGGGAAGGAGCAGGGAAGAGCAGGAATAAAGTCCTTTTAGGATTTATTTTGGGATCGCTGCCCGGCCCTGAGGAGGGTGGTTGAAGGTTGGAGCTCAACCTGCTCTGTCCACAGCTCAGAAATGAGCTTGGTTGATGCTCTCCCATCCCAGGAAGCTTAGTGTGGCCATGGAATGGGGCTGGAAAAACGATGGCATCGAGATGTTCATCCCTAAAAGTGGGACCTGCCGGTGGGAGGGAGGAGTCATCAGCGCTCCAGAGCTTCCCCACAAGGCTTCCTGCTGGGAAAGGGCACTTTTTGGCAGTGGGAAAGGGCAGGGAAGAGATGCAGGCAGGGAAGAGGAGATGCCCTCAGGTGGGATTTCCCTCGGGGTGACCGGGAATGTTGGCAAGGGGAAGGAGAAGGAACAACCTCTCTCTCTGATCTCCAACTATTCTCAACATCCAGCAATCCAGAGAGCTCATCCCAGAGAATCCCAAGGGATGCAGGGTGGGAGCAGGTCCTGGAGCCCTGTTAGTCCCACTCTCAGCCAGGATGCTCCATCCCACCCAGCCTGGCTTTTGCAGGAAGCACCACATCCATGGTGGGACTCAATCCGTCCCACCCGGCACAGCTGAGGATTCCCAACACCAACATTCTCTCGGGGACCCTCTCCACAAGAAAAGTGTGTTTTTCCAACCACATGGCTCCTTCCAAACCTGGATGCCCACCCGGAAAACCTTCTCTCTCAAATTTTGCACAGATCTGGGGGGGGGGAAAATGGGATGAATCCACCGGGAAAGGAAACAGCGGGAGGGTTTCAGGATCGTTCTGAAGGGGGGAGCTCCTGCCCTTTTCATGGAACGTGACTCCGGGGACACGGGAGCGGCTCCCCGTGCTGACCTTTGGGATGAACGGGATCCCTGCTGAGCCCTGGGAGAGCTCTCCATGAAAAGGCAGAAGGGTTTGGCAGCTCTGCCTCCCAGGGATCCGGCACCGGAGCGAGGAGCTCATCTGCTGGAGGTTGGGATAGTGTTGAGCAGCAGGAGGGCTGGGATGCAGACGGACATTTGGATATCGTGGCTCTGGGGGGGGGGATGGTGCTGCTTTTCCACTAAAAATTCATATAAGCCCCCCATTCCCATGACTTTCCACCTCTGTCAGAAGCCAAGGGACAACTTGCAAGTCGAGCTGTGGCTCTGCCGTTACTCCAAAATCCCAGGTTTCAGAGAAACATGGAATCCTGAAATGGATTGGGTGGGAAGGGAGTGGAAAGATCACCCAGTCCAACCCCCTGCCATGGGCAGGGACACCTCCCATTATCCCAGGTTGCTCCAACCTGGCCTGGAACACTTCCAGGGATGGGGCAGCCACAGCTTCTCTGGGAATTCCATTCTAGCACCTCACTACCCTCTCAGCCAAGAATTCCTTCCCAATATCCCATCTAACCCTCTGGCAGTGGGAAGCCATTCCCTGTGTGCTGTCCCTCCATCCCTTGTCCCAAGTCCCTCTCCAGCTCTCCTGGAGCCCCTTTAGGCCCTGGAAGGGGCTCTCAGGTCTCCCTGGATCCTTCCCTTCTCCAGGTGAACACCCCCAGCTCTCCCAGCCTGGCTCTCCAGAGGCTCCTGACTCCATTTTCCTCATTTTCCCACCTCACCCGCAGACAGGACACATCCTGGACGAAAGACAAATGCTTGGAAAAGGCAGTGACAGGACAGGAATTCAAATAGAGGAATTTCTCCCAAAATATTAATGAGGAAAAAAGCAAATCCCTCCACCTGAAAACTGCCTTAAAAAGAAAGGAAACAAAATTAGGGAAGAGGAAAAATAATGGCACGAGACTGTGGGGATGGGAAACCCCCTGGGGCCGGGTCCAGGTCCAACCATCCCAGTTCCTGGAATCACAGAATATCCCGAGTTGAAAAGGCCCACCCCCCCACCAAGGATCAGCAACTCCAAATCCTGGCTCTGCACAGGACAACCCCACAAATCCCTGAAAAGCGAGACCCACTTCTGGACAGAGGTTTTCCAGCCCTAAATGGGCTTGGAAAGGAGAAGAACAGGGAAAAAAAGGAGCCTTGGCCTCCAAAACCCACATGGATGCTGCACTGAGGGATGCTGCTGTTTCTGGGGAAAAGCCAAGGAACGTGGCTGTTTCTTCCCTGAGGGATGGGACAGCGCCGGGATTGGGATGTGCTCCGAGCTCCCAAGTCAATCCCATGTTTGTTGGCTCCATGGCAAAGAGATACTTAATAAAGCAAACAAACCGTGTGTGACTAATCCCGGGGCCGCGCTCCCGGCTCGGGTTCCTAATGGCTTTTCCACGCCTTTCCCCAACCCTCCTTCCGGAACGCCCCATCCACACCCCGCTGTTTGGGGGGCCGGGATGGCAGGGCTTGGGATCGCCTTCCCTGCTGGAAAAGCCCCTTCTGTTTATTTACAGCGGCCTCTCCCGCTCCTGGTCTCGCAGGAATGAGGCGCCGGGTTTGCCGCAGGGAATTTTTGCTTCTCCGCCGGGACGAGGCTGAGCCGGGGCTGTGGGGTGGTGCTGGGAGCCATCTGATCCCTTCCACCTGTCAGGGTGGCTAATTATACCCCCCCAACCCACCCCCGGGACCCCCGCCAGCCCACAGGTTGGGCCATAAAAAGGGGGAGGAAAAAAATATTCCGATGGGGGAAAAAACCCTCCGGGGTGAAACCTCACCCCAACCTTTCTGCTGCTGGATGGAGGTGCCACGATCCCACGGATGATCTCGCTGATGATCCCACTCTGGGGTTCCCCCCTCAGCCTGCTCGGGGTTGGGATGGTGCCCAGCTGACAGTTCCCATGTCCAGGACTCCTCCCCGGCTGCCAAGGAAGCTCCGGGTGAATTCCAAGGTGCCATTGGCCTTAAATGGTCCAACGAATCCCGACGTGCCCCGGGAGAGCGGGATTGGGATGAGGGGCTTTGCAGGGCCCGGCCTTCTTTAGCATGGAGCTGGCAAAGGAGGAGGAGGAGGAGAAGGAGGAGGCAGCTGGTGGAAGGGAATTATGTTAACGAGGTTTTTCCATGGACAAGCTCGGCGGGAGGAGGTGGAGGGCGGGAGGAAGGCCAGGCCAGGTCACTGGGCCAAGCACCCAACACCCGCTGACCTGACGATCCCATCCAGCCCGGCATTCCCAAGCACTTTGCTCAGAGTGAACTTCTCAGGTGTCTCCAAACTTATCCCACCCCCTGCGCCTTTCCCAGGAGAGGGACAAGAGATGGGCTTTGATGACTCTCAGGAGGTCCTCCCAACTCAGAAGTGCTGGAGGGTCTTCCCATCTCCTTGGACCCTTGGACCTGTGTCCCTCCATCCACTGTGATGGACACAAATCCCACCAGCCAGACTTTTTGGGGAGATGGGAGCAACAAAAACCATAAGTTACTCCCCCAAACTCAAGCACCTCAACTCCACCATTTCCTATATTTTTTAAACCCCTCTGGAGCATCCCACGGAGTTTCACTGGAGCTTTTCCAGCAGCAGGATTAACCACCTGGATGGCTATCTTCCCATCTCCTTGGACCCCTGGACCTGTGTCCAAGTCCCTCCATCCACTGTGGTGGACACAAATCCCACCAGCCAGACTTTTTGGGGAGATGGGAGTGCTAAACCCACGAGTTACTCCCCCAAACTCAAGTGCCTCAACTCCAGAATTCCCTATTGTTTTAAACCCCTATCAGCCATCCCACAGAGCTTCACCGGAGCTATTCCAGGTATCCCCCTGGTCGAGCAGCAGGATTAACCACCTGGATGGTCTTCCCATCTACTTGGACCTGTGTCCAAGTCCCTCCATCCACTGTGATGGACACAAATCCCACCAGTCACACTTTTTGAGGAGATGGGAGCATTAAACCCACGAGTTATTCCCCAAACTCAAGTGCCTCAACTCCAGAATTCCCTATTTTTTTAAACCCCTATCAGCCATCCCACAGAGCTTCACCGGAGCTATTCCAGATATCCCTTCGGTCAAGCAGCAGGTTTAACCACCTGGATGGCTGTCTTCCCATCTCCTTGGACCTGTGTCCAAGTCCCTCCATCCCCTGTGGTGGACACAAATCCCACCAGCCAGACTTTTTGGGGAGATGGGAGTAACTTTATTCTCCAAAACTCAAGCGTCTCAACTCCAGCATTTCCTATTTTTTTAAACCCCTCTGAAGCATCCCACAGAGCTTCACCAGAGCTTTTCCAGCAGCAGGATTAACCACCTGGATGGCTGTCAGGCTCTTTTAATGTCCCCCTGAGTGGCTGTTGGGAAGCAGCGGCTGGAGGTGCCGGAGCGTTTTCCGAAGTGACAGCCAGGAAATGGCTTTTTTTTTTTTTCCCCCCCCGATGGCTTTGCAATAATTGGGTGCAGATGGAAACAGCCTCGGGACAAAAAAAATCCCAGCTCCCACCCTGTCATTAAAAACCTGGAGGACAACACATCCCCAGCATCATCCAGGCTGCGGAATAACCACGGAGGAATTTAACCCCCGTGGTTTTCCGGAGGGATTTGCTCCAAAAAAAAAGGTTTCTGCCCTCCAAATGGGGTTTGGCACCCTAGAAAAATGCCTGGTTTAGGATGATCTCCTCCAAATCCTCGCTAGGATTTGAGATCTAAATGCTCTCCAGGATATACCACCAAGCAGGAACCTCCT